CGAGCGCTCGAAACAAGAGACTGGCTGACCGCCGCCGCGTCCCTACACCGGCCTATCGGGTGGGCCAGCAGGTATGGCTTTCCTCTAAGAACATCTCTCTGCGGACTGAGTCCAGGAAGCTGGCTCCCCGGTTCCTTGGACCCTTTTCTGTGCGAGCCATCCTGAATCCAGTGACTGTCCGACTGGCCCTCCCGCGCAACATGAAGGTACACGACACGTTTCATGTTTCTCAAATTAGGCCGGTCCGGACCAGCCCGTTGTGCCCGCCTCCCGGGCCCCCGCCACCCGCCCTGGATATCGCCGGCGCTCCGGCGTATTCCATTACTCGCATAATGGATGCCAGGCGCCGTGGTAGGGGCTTCCAGTTTTTGGTGGATTGGGCGGGGTACGGTCCGGAAGAGCGTTCCTGGGTGCCGCGGTCTGCGATCCTCGACCCTGGTATGGTGTGCGAGTTCCGCCGTCGGCACCCTGACAAGTTTCGTGGGTCGCCCGGGGGCTCCCGTTAGAGGGGGGGTACTGTCGTGGTCGGACGGTCCTTCCCGGAGCGACCTGTGTGTGTGTGTATGTGTGTGCTTCTCTCTCTCTCCTCCTCCACCCAGTGGCTGACACACCTGCACCTAATTTGCCATCCAGCTGTCACTGATCATCCTCGTCATGGACTGAGGTACTTAACTAGGTGTCTGGATGGCAGTCGACGCTGGATTGTACTGGAGGCTCGGTAGTGAAGAGTGTTTTCTTATTTCCTTAACTTAGCCTTAGCCGGGCACCCTTCTCACCTGTAGCTGTCGTCACTTGTTTACAGGAGGAAGCAATACGGAGCAGAAGGTTGGAGAGAAGGAGTCCGCTGGATTAAGCCCTCGGAGGAGAAACACACTCAGATAATCACTTGGGAGACTCACCTGCACACCCCTGGGAGATTGGAGAGGATCACCGTGGATTTTTGTATTTCGCTTTGTGACTGTTCTGAGCACTGTAAATAAACGCACTGTTTGCTTCGCATCCAGAGCTCCGCGACTGAGTCTGTATTTCCCCCATTACCCGTGACACATCACTTGCGGTATTGCTTTCCTCTGCACTTCCTGATTCACTTTTTAATGGAGACAGGGTCTTGGGGTCTTTTAGCATTAAATTTCCACTGTTTGCACTACTGCAGCATGTGCAGCAGTAACAAATGGTGATATAGTAAACCCTGGAGATGAAGCACGTCTATAAATGCCCTTTCCCTGGAATAGTGATCTGATATTTCATTGAAAAAAAAAAGTAAATATGTTTGTCTGGTTGCTTTTTTGTGGTGGACTTTGATTAATATTGTGTCTTTTGCAAACAGCATTGAAGCATATTCCTTTGCTTTTTTTAAAAAACTAAAAACTGTATATGAATACTACTTTGAATAATGTACATTGCTTTGAAGAAATCTGTCGACAGAGTGAGAACAAAAGCATATGCATACAAAATCCACGTGCACAATGTGTATCTGTATATGTGCGCATGTGTCTTTGTGCATATGTGGATGAGTGTGTGGCTGAGCACATGTACGTGTGTAATGACAAGACGGAGACAAGGGATGCCCTGAAGCTGCTTGTTCCATCTGATGAGACAGAGTCAAGCTCTGATAGATTTCATCTACCTTGCCTTAACCTTAATTTGCAGGGATGCGGCACGTCAAACAGCCTCAGGACCAATGGAATCTGTCAGCCAACTTCAAAATGTTTCTCCATTTCTTTTTCTCCTGTAACAAAGGGGTTCAAACGTGCATCCACTCAAGCAGGAAAATATGAGGTTTTTGTTGAGAAGCCAGCATTTACACTTGAATTTCAAAAGTACTTCAAGGCATTTACAAACTAACCTGTTAGCCATTTGGAAATGATATGCATACCCTGGAAATGTGTCATATCTTTGCTTAAAGCAGTTCTAAACATTTAAACTTCATGAAATAAATAAGTATGATAATTTAGGAAGACAATATCTGTTTAATTCATCACTGTCATCCTCCATACTGGTAGTATTGTCCTCTTGCCAAATAGCTTAATGTGGTAACTTTTTCATATGATCTTTCTATATATGTGAATACATACAATTTACAATATTTAATGTAATATTCACTGTATTTACCATTCAAGATGCTACTGTCCCAATTTATTTAAGTACAGACAGACGGTCATTGTCATTTTTTCAGTTCAGGACATAAAATTGCCTTTTAGTAGCGGACACTTGTACTCTCAGTGATAATGTAACTACTTAGCAAAAGATGGCTTCCAATCCAAGAAAGTCCAATTTCTTGTAGTTCAATTTTGTACAATTTGGGTGATTTGGCTAACAGCAAAATGTGTGTGTGTCTGTGTGTGTAACCATGTTCTGTACGTGCAAGTGTGCATGATTGTGGTTCTTGAGTTCAGCTGTTTGCTTCTTTCCACAGAGTGCCTCTGTGGTTGCTTACTTGGCCCTCAATGCCGGAAGTCCCCCACCAGTCGCATGTGACATTGGTTCCTGACACCCTCGTGTTTACAGCGAGCACAGACGAACACAGCCCCCTCCAGAAGCATTTGTCCTCAGTAAAAGAGGAGGTGTTTGTCCTTCCAAGCCTCTTGGGAAATTGTCCACCGCTCTCGTTAAGCGGCTCCAGACCACACTGAAAACACAGGCCTGTCCACAACAGATGTTTGTTTTGTGTTGACTTTGCTCTGTTGCGCTTGGAGCATAAGAATAGAATCCTTATGGAAGCTGTTGTCCACATGTGCCCCTTTACTGTGGAGACTGTGGTTGGTGGATTATATCAACAGCAAGAATTAACCCCAGACTTCATGTTCAAAGTCATTTTATTGATTGAATTGTTTATTATATGTAAAGATTTCCCAATTAAAACCCTCTCATATTCACTCCAGAAATTAGCACAACTTACAAATAAAAGAAAATTGAACGTCACTCTCTTAGGAAACGTAAATGAGGTTTTAGATGTAGATTCTTTCATACTTATGACTTCCTGATATATGTATTACTTCCCATCTGTTTTATGGTGAAAGGTCTGAAAGAAGATTTAAAAGAAAGAAAGCAAAAAGGGGAGAAAAGGGAAATATGACCCAGAACATTACCACCAGCCGGGTCATTAATGAGCATTGCTCATGCTGTCATGGCAACTATTATCACAGTGATGTCGCTAATGGCATCTGAGACAGGGCAGGAGAAATATGTGAAAATTATTGTCAGATTCAATTAGGATCCTTTCGTCTGAACTCAGCTGGTCCTCCTCCAGGCCTCTCATTGATTAGCTATCAAACTGAAAGAAGAATGGGAACGGTGAAACTCAGACACCCTGATGTGAGAGTCATCACAGGATCCTGATGCTCACTGATAGAAGAAGGCTGACCCTATCCAGCAACCTTAATCAGCATCATTGCTGACATATTTATATTAGTACAAACTATCATCTGCACTCAGAATATAATTGTTCTGACAGTGCTTGCAATGGCAGTGTAGACCATTCCGTATTATTTCTAACAAGAATTAAATCAGTACGTAGTAGCCAAAAAAGAAAGAAAAAAGAAAAAGTGGGCCTACATGAAGACTTGACTTAATCAAGGGAGTTTGTTATCCATTTTTGCATAAGACCAGAACTATTGCTGTGAAACTGAAAACAGGGAAACAAGGCTTAAGGAAAGCAGGATGTTGAGAGTGAGTTCATCTTAATGAGAACTGTATTGGCCTGATGGACAGGTGGTTTGCTGAAACAAGTGAAAAACAGTGCGGATGTTTAAGAGCTGGCTGCTGGAACAATCTGGATTGGGGAGTCAACATGTTTGTGTGCTTTGGAATGCATGAGGTTGTGGTGGCGGGCCACATGAGAGCAACCGGCCTGGATGGTCAGATTCCTGTGGTCAGACAACGACAGAGCTTTTGCCCCCGTTTCAGAAAAAGAAAAGCAAAACCTCACTCATGTTTGGCCTGCTGTTGACTATGCACTCCAACTTTTAGCTAGCTAAATTGCCTAACTCTCTAACAGAATGGCATATATATATATATATATATACATATACATATATATCAAAGGCTAGCCAGCCATAAAAGACTGAATTATGAACTGGACTCGTGTTGAGCTGAATGAAAAATACCTATATAGTTAATAAACCACCTTGTCTGCAACCTTACTGTAAACCACAGACTGCAGCACAACCATGCCAAGACTAACCTTTAAGGTTGTTGGGATTGTATCATGGTGCTGATGCCTTTTGAACTCATGTGACAGCAATAATAGTAGGTTGTCATATGTAACTCTTCAGGAAATTTAAAGCCAAGCAGACAATGCAGCTTTTCTTTCCATACACTGAAGTTGTCTATTGAAGAATTTAATATACCTAAAAGAATACTGAAGAATCACTGTTGACTGGTAATAAATCTGGCTTTAAGGCATCAGTCATAGTGGCCAGTCTTACCATAGTAACAGCACTGCTATGTACAAGCAGTGTTGGGAAGTACCGGAATACATGTACCGCCGTTACGTATTTAAAATACAAAATATGAGTAACTGTATTCCGTTACAGTTACCGTTTAAAAAGGTGGTATTTAGAATATAGTTACTTTGTTGAAATAAATGGATTTTCATGTTTCATACTGTCGTGGGTCAGGACTGTTTGAGTTTTGTTTGACAGCTATGTTACGGTTGCCATGGTTACAGGGCCAACTATGTGTTTCCTGGGTGAGAGAGCACCTTTTTGTTGTTGTTGTTGTTGTTGTGCTAAGCTACAGAATGCTACAGACATAGCTCTAAAGAATGTAGCCTCATGGGCAGTGTAGTCCGTGTTGCAGGGAGAATGGACCGCCATACCCGTTATGTGTCTTTGAGCGCGAGGAGGGAGAAAAAGGAAGTAGAAAAGTACGAGCAGTCATCGAGCAGAAACGGGAGCTGGAAGCATGTAAATATAATAATAACCACTGCAGCCAAGAAGAGTGCCTGACGAGCCCAGTTGTAAGTAAGCTATTAAGACTCGACTGTACACCGTGTTCGTGTTTTCCTCCGAAACAATAAGTTCCGTTGGAGCAGCCTTTCAACGCCTCTCTCTGTCTCTCGCTAGCAAAGTTGACCCAGACAACAAAGTAAAGCTAGTTTTCGGCTACGAGCCCGACACAGAACCCGACGTATTAGCCAGAGGTCCCTTTACTACGGTTCGGAGCCGCGGACCTTCAGTAATAATAATAAATCACACAGCAATAGTACATTTATGCAGTTGTAAAAAGCATAATAATATATTAATTAATCCAAAGTATTCAGAATACGTTACTCTCATTTTGTAACGTAACGGAATACGTTACAAAATACATTTTGGGGCATGTATTCTGTAATCTGTAGTGGAATACATTTTAAAAGTAACCTTCCCAACACTGTGTACAAGATCGGATCTTGGACTTCACAAGACAACTTTCACAAGATCTACGATCAACTCAGCCCCTGGGGATTAGTTTAGAATCCCAAACCAATGTTGTTTGGCTCATCTGTGCGTCATTTTTTTCACTCAGTCACCTAGCCAGCTCCTATGGGATATTCAAGTTTGACTTAGGGTGTTTTGGAGGCGGCCAGTCCTGTGGTGGCGAGAGACACAGTGGTCTGGCTTTGAGAATCATCAGTGATGAATCTCAAAGGAAGAGAAGTAACTAACATGGTTACAGCTTTCTTCCAATGTAAATACAGAGCCTTTGATGTTTGGTTTGTTTTTGAATGCGGGTTTGACATGATGGAGGAGCGCTATATTGTCTATGACGTCTAACCTACTGTGTCAAACCTTTCTTTTCTCTTGGCTTTTTGCTGCCTTCTCTTTTTCAGACACAATTCAGACATCATTGTTTTTTTTCAACCCCAACATTATCTTTGCTCGTGATCATTTTTTAACAGGTGTGGCAGAAATTTTGGTAGCAGTCATTTTATTAAGTTGTTTCTTATCTTGTAATAATGCGTAACATTGAATAGCTGGACTCAAATGATGCAGACCAAATAACTGCTATTACTTCACAGAACCATCACACAGCTTGACATGCGTGCAGAGAAAGGCTTTGAAAA